GTTTGTGTTAAAGACGAAACCTTCATAATACCATATTAACCATTTCAGTTTCAGCTATAATTAGCATTATATACGTTTAAAAACATAAATAAAACAGTCATTAACCTTAACAGTTGCCTCTTTCTCCTATCTTACCGTGACATTGCAACAAAAAAATCAGTGTTGACATGATGGCAGACTGCAAAACAAAAATTCCCAGCTGATCTCCATAACCTTCACAATCGATGCGTACAGGTCTGAGCAACAGAAAGATCCATAAACTTCAAAAAAACAAATAAACATCTAACCTACACAATCGTGTTTAGGTTGTCAGGACTTAAAAATTTACCTACACAAATGAGTGTGCTGGGTCTGAAAGGGTAATGTTTAAATTGTATTATTTTGAGTTGACATGATGACATTCATAATAGTAAATAGTAGGTATCGTAGTAAACTTAAGATGCCGAATTTACATTTGTAATGATCAATTATCAATTACTTAAGATGGGGACCCCACTATGATGCTTGTTTAGGTATGTTTTAATGTTTCGTATGCTTAAATGAGGCTTTTAATGACGATTAAAAGTGTTTAGGTTGATTTAATTACGCATAGATTATAAATAAATAAATTTGGTTGAAACCGTTTAACAATTGGCAAAAAAATAAGTCCCAGAACAGAATCGGTCACGCCAAAGACAAGGACGTAAAATTACAGTCATAAAAGAAGAAATAAATAGTAAATTATATTTGTTTTAGCTGTGAAAATGGATTTTGGAAAAATAACAGTTCTTATAGGTTTTTAGGTTAGGTTTGAAATTCAAATAGTAATACTGTATATGCATATTAATAATATAAAATCAGCAAGCAATATATGATATTGCTACAGCGAGAAGAAATCACAGTAATGTTCTAAATTAGTGGCTGTAAATGTTTGTATTATGTGTAAGTTTAAGCTGGACCATAGCTTCCCTAGTGGCTAAAAACGCTTTTTACTCCCTAGAAAGTAAAAATACTACTTTAGACCAGCAACGCATGCTTTGGATGTTTTTCCTGCAGTATGACGAAATTACCTATGTGTTACATTAGGACATATGTTTATTGGACAGCTGGAGTTAAAGAAACCCACCACTTTGGTTAACCGCTGTTAGTCAATACACTTTTTTGTGGCCGAGACTCCTCCCCTATCAAACGTCCCCGCAACCCCAAGACCATAACCTAATTACATACCCTTCGTTGAAATTATAGAGGACTCTAACGCTTTCATTCATAGCTATCACCGTACGAATGGTACAGAGAGAGGTTTCATCTTGAAAGACACTGTCAGTCAAATGTCTAAGTTTTGGATTTCTAAATCACAAGGAGGGAAAGTATCGATTTCTTAAACGGTTTGTCTCTTTGTACAATTCAAAGGGGAGGTTTTAGAAATTAAGTAGGGCTTGTAAGGGTGGATACACAGTACCAAACATTGGATTTGGGTTGTCTAATAGGTAAAGTTTAATTAAACAAAATGGCAAATACAAAGTGTCAAGGTCAATTTTTATTTAGCACAGAAAAAAAATTGATTAGATTATCTCCATGACCAAACTAAACACATTGTAAATGTATAGAAAACATAAATATCTCATAATTATTATTAATCCATTAATACAGCCAAATATTTATGTGTTAGTACTTTTCTACGTGATCTACAGGGGTTTTAAATGGTAAGCTACAGACAGTTCAATAGGTGAAAATCTGTCGCCTGTGGTTCTCAATTGTTTTAACGTCCGTATGTACAGGGTGCCCCACGAAGAGGTTTAAAAGTTAGATTTTATGTTACTTGTCCATTTATGCACCGACAATTTTGAAACTTTAAGAATTTATAAAGTAGGGTTTAAAAATATTCTGGGGAAATTTCAGGGGTTAGGGAGCCTCTTTTGCAAACAAAATTGTTTCTTATTATTGAACAATTATACTTTAAACACATTTAAAATTGTGTTTATGGTTTTGTAAACTATTTATATTGTCGCATTTTAGGAAAATAAGGGTTTTTAATCAGGAAACTAGAACATAGCCTAATGAAAAACCTAAAAGTAGAGTCCAAAGCTATTCAAACTGTGATCCACCCACAGTGACACTCTGATAACATAGCACAAGTTAATCTTAAGCTCTTACAAAGAAATTCTGCGGTATCCGGAGAAGTTCCAATTTCCCGTTCAATTTTCGTAAAATTTTTCGTTAGTTTCTCATATCATTAATGAAGCTATGTGTGTAAACGTTCCTTCAAGTAACCCCATAAAAAAAGAAGTCACACATAGTTAAATATGCAGCTTAGTGAATAAGTCAGATAATAACTCAAGAAAGTTATTTTTCTAGGAAGCAAATTGGTAAAATATTCAATATGCCACCATTTTGTTTCTACAAGGGTTATTGAGCTGAAAATTTCCCATGATATTTTTGAAGCATAAATGGGTAAGAAATAGATCAAATCAAACGCTTAAACTTCTTCGTGGGACACCCACGACATAAAAACATAAACAACACAACATAAAAAACAATCTTCAAATTTAAAACTCTGCATCCCATTACTATAAATACACACACATGGTATACTTTTATAAATAAAAAATATTCGTGGCTGCTAGTAAATAGGACTTACAATAGTTTTAATAATTCCAGATCTTATGCTTAATACCGCAATACCTTTCAACTGTGAATAGGGATGTAGCCGTTGAAGCAAATATTTTTCTTAATTCTCCCTCGAAAAATGTCGGAGATACTGTTATGGGAGTAATATAAAAATTGATAGTGGCCCAAACGCATGCTATTTGCTATTTATTATACACAACGAAATAAAACAACAGTTTACTTCCCTTCAATAAATCCATCGTTTTTAACCACATAAAACACGCTCACAATTTAAAACGCTGCCCAACATTCACTAACTCGAGAAAGCGGAGCGAAACAAAACAATAAATAAACAAGCGTATAATAGAACAAGGATGAAGAGTTAAAAGTTGAAATGCTGAAGAGCCACTCGAAGTTGAATCTTGTACAAAACGTTGTTTAATGGTTTTGAAAGCATAACGAGCGCGGAGAAGTATACAGTATAATTAATGGCGGTTCTGGTCAAGAGCGCTTTAATTGCCGACCATTCAGCCGAATTATATTTCATCTCAATAATTCTTTTATTTGGAACCGTTTCTTCGGACTACGGCTACAAGTAGTCGAGTGGCCGCCGGTCAGTATTGATTTGAGTTGAGTTTTATTTAGAGTTTCGAAGATTATTGCAAACTCGGTAAACCAATTGTAAAGCAGAGAAGCGAAAGAAAATGTTCAATAATGGATTATTCATACATGGTTTTACTACTTATTCAGCCACCTTAGAGTGATTTTTTATGAGCGTTGAAAACTCGTGTATCTTTCACAGAGTAAAAATATAAGTTTCATAGCCTATTCTCTTTCCTCCGCCTACAATCATATTCTTTGATATTAAATTTCACTCAAATTCATTCAAATTATCACTCCTAGAGTCTTTTGAAAGAAAACTAAAACAACCCGTAATTTACTTATCATTGATTGTTTTAAAAAGATTGCTGAAAGGATCCATCAATTTATAAGATATTACAAAAATAACCCAAGTTAACGGTAGATAAAGTAGTCCAACGCGGATCAATACCCTACGTTTAGTGTGTCAAATCAGACATTCGATATCATACCTGTCTCTTTATATATATACTTCTCCGTTTTCAAAGACCTGCAAACTAAAGATAATCGCCAGGTGTGAACTATCTTGTTGTGACAAAGATTGCCAGATCTTCTACAATGATCAGCTGATAGTCCTTCGTCTACAATGATACAGATTAGGACTAGAACGGTTTCCAATGAGGGGTAATGTTGTTTATGTGTAAACAGTGTCAGGTAGTTTTAAATTACAGGACGTGTGAAAATGTCTTGGCGTCGAATACAAGTTTCTAAAAGAGGCAATAGTGGATTTCTTGTTCATGAGTAGAATAAATGTTGCTGGTTTAATTTACTAGTCACTCTGTTTTATTTAGTTAATCTCTCAATTCTTTTATCACGTTTTGTCTTCTTTCTTCTCGCCAAAACATTTTTGTGAAAAAGAAAATGTTGTTTTCTTTTAGAAGTGTTCAATTAAACCTATTTTTTTACTCTTGCCTTTCTTTGGATTGTAATGTTTTTTCTGTCTTCTGTAATTACTCTATAATTGTTTAACGACAACCTATGGCCACAAGTTTTTATAGTACTTACCATCTAATCATTCTATTTTAATTTTCTTCTACTTGTGAAAGTTAGCAAAACAATTGGAGGTAGAACATGAAGAACTAAGGAATAGCTAATGATCAAGGATCATTACTTTTTCCATATGTATCTGATTATTCCTTTTCAAATCAGCTTCTATATACATTATATATGTTATTATTATGTTATTACTGTCAGTGTATATGATGATTTCCCCTTCTCTTACCACTATGCGACTTGTGTAACATTGGGAAACAACGTTTTATTAATCCAATTAGAAGTGCCAATGCCTTTAGAATATTCTACCCAATGAATACGGTATTATTTTATCTTGCCTTACATTCTGAATTTTATGAAGTAATGCAAAATGACGTTCTATCTTATTATGGATCTGATTGCTATTGCAGAGATTTATAAGTTGCTAAGTTCTTTTGGAATCTTCTATTAGAAGTGGTAAAATTATTTTCTTCTCTTACATGTACCGCTATGAACTTGTTAGAGTGATGCAGACTAGCATTTCCTTGATCCCTAAAACTAATAATCCCTTCGGTATGTTCTGCTATCAGTATACCCGATACTACTGAAAAGACCATCAACAGAACAGTTAATCTCTTCTCATGGCAATCTGAAATCTTTGTATCACATTTAAGCAAACCTTGAACTTCTTGAATCCATCCAGATGAATCCTCCCCAATTTCCTAACACGTAATTTCATTATTGCTATTTCTCTTTACCTATATGATTGCAATTTTGAATTTCTAACTCTCCTCATTCCCCAGGAGCCAAGAGGGCGCGCATCTCCGTGGTAGACGACGACGCTTCAGACTCCGCCGAGCCCGAGGACCTTGACAGGAGTCGCTCCAGGAGTCGAACACCTCCGCAACACACGGCGCCACCACTGTCGGCCCCACCACTATCGGCGCCCCCACAACTGGCGCCCCCAGAGTGTAGTATAGCACCCCTGGCTCACCCGCTCTCCTCGCCTGCTCACACACAGTCTACGCCCCCTCCTGAGGTATGTTGTGATGTGGAATAGAGAAAACCATTTTTTGCTTATGTCTTCGCCAGTGACATTTTAGTTATTAGGCAAGTTAAAACGATAGGGAAAGCGGACTAAACCCATTAAAGTTTTGTGCGGAATTGAACTCGCGTCCCTCCCGCACCGAAGTGAGACGCTAACAACTAGGCTAGCAACACACCCAAAAAACGAACGCACACTTTTAAATCAATCAGAATTAGAATGAGAGTGCATCAGAGTATTTAATTCATAATTTAATTTAAGTGGTTTATGGAATACTACTTTTGTGGGAATAGAGTATTATATTCCTACAGAGATAAACAAATAAAAGGGACTAAAACTGCACTATCTCAATTTAAAATGTCATGAATTTGACAACTGTTCATAAATTTTAAGGCTTAAACTTTTTATCGAATTTCCCATAGGGAATAAGCTTTTTTTAATGTAGCTTATGTTACACTTTTTAGAAGTTGAAATAAAGTGTTTTTAGGGGTTTCCAGCCAACATCCGGCTCGGAGGACTAATATTTAAATAATGTGAAAGTACGACTTTTTGGAAGAATAGAGTATTGTATTATTCGATGAGTTGGTCAATCAATTAATAGTTCATAACAAAAGAATTGCAATAAAATTAAATATTTAATCAAAATTTTACATTTCTTTAATTAAAACTATATTTACAGGACTCTAGCAGCGACGGCGAGTCCGCACCAGAGAACCTCTCCCTACCCAAGCCCCGGACGGAGACACCTCCCAGTACCCCGCTGTACGGAGGCTACGCCCCCCTGGGCTACGGCCCTCTCGCCTCCTCCCAGCGCTCCCCCGTGGACGTCCTACTCCGGGTGTTCCCTGGTAGACGACGACAAGACGTGGAGGCGACGCTCAACAGATGCAAAGGAGATGTGCTCCAGGCTATAGAACTCATGGTAATTTGTTAAATAAATAATATTATAATTAATAATGTAGTATTTATGGTATGAAGGGCAGAATGTTCGGGTACACACAATTTGGGAACATGTAAATCGCTATAAAGGGGCTTGAGGTATTCATCATCACACTGGTTATAAATATTGAATTTAAGGTCCATTTTTAATTAAAAAAAGCTAAACGGCTTATTAAAATATTCAAACGTGTTGTCCAGGTTACTAAGATGAGATGGATATTAGAACATGGACGGTATGGGTAATAAACATAAACAAGCAAGTCGACTTCACAGGCCCAAACTTTGTAGCTACAGTAAATGAAAATTTTTGGCCAGTCCCATTCAAATAATACAGACATGTTAATTTTTGGGCCAGTGACGTAATTTGTTCATGTTTATGATCCATACAGATTCTGTTCTAATATCCGTGGTTTTTCAGCAATAGTAATAATTAAATGTTTTAATCGCTAGTCAACAACAAACAGCAATGCTATTTTTTCATTGCTAATGGTTATGATCCATACAGATTCTGTTCTAATATCCGTGGTTTTTCAGCAATAGTAATAATTAAATGTTTTAATCGCTAGTCAACAACAAACAGCAATGCTATTTTTTCATTGCTAAGCAACGATAAGTATACCACGATGTTTACATCTGCATGGGACCCTTTTCTGTGGCTAAACATGTATTGAATTCGCTGCTGATATGATAATGTATAAATGTATAAAGCACTTTTAGTTACTAGTTTATACATAACTCACTGCTTACAAAGTTTTAATTTTTAGTGATTACTGGTCACTGATGGGCTCCTCTCTAATTTTCATTGTTCATTTCCTTCATTATTTTCCTCTTAACTCCTACTCATAATTTTATTTTACCTCCCTAATTAAGTAGTGTCTTAAAGGGGATTTTTGCAACTTCTATAAATTTTGATTATTAAGTACTTTAACACTTGAAATATTCCAAATTTCTTACGTAGAATTATTTCTTTGTTCCAGCACCTCATAGAGTTTCAATTAAAGAGTCCACTCTTCAACTCTTTTCTTGAGCAGAACCCTCATCTGCAAACATCCCCTTCAAGAGTAAGGAGAATTTATTTTTATTAATATTTTATAAAATTTTACAATAGGGTTTTATTACGTTGTGCAGGATAAAAATTTATTTTTAAATATTATTAGGATTTACAAAAAAAAAATAAATAAATAAACATGTACTTGGTAAGTCTTTTTTGGTTGTTTAAGGTGGCCACCAGTTGGTCGACAAATCACTTAGTCGTCAGGCCTCTTGACCGTCTTTGTTGATTTGGTTTTGATTTTTAATAGTATAAAAATTATTTAATTCATAGTACATTATAAACTAGCATAAGGTGCAAAACTATTTAATAACTCAATAACAGTTTGCATGTACAAAATTAATAATACTAAAATTCAGGTATTAATATTATTGCTGCTATTGTACTTTTTGTAAACTGTCGCAATAGCCTAACTAAGGCAATAAAGGCCACAACAATTATTTCAAAACTATTTTTGTTTGTTTAAATTATCATTTCAGTCGCGGAAACCTTACGTTAATTTGATAGATTTTTTTCTATGAAGCGTATTATGAATTTATAATGTTTTCCCAAAAATTGAATTTTTCGCCGATTTCACTAACACACCTCTTTTACAGATGTGTTCCGAATCCGAGGAGCCAAGGTCGGCGTTCTCCCCTCTAGGACCTCCCTGCACCTCCCTCCGAGGACAACACTTCGGACCCCAGGCTCGGCGCTTCCTCGCAGCCCCGTACTCCGGCACGGGCTACCTCCCTACCGTCATCCGCCCGGAGTACGCCCTGCCGCTCCACCTCTACACCCCGGACAAGACTACGGCGTCGTCCCCCGGATCTAACACCGGCTCGGACAAGACGTCGTACTCGGAGTAGCAGCGAGTGTGAGTGTAAATATTTGGATTGTGTTTTTGTTTAAAAAATGTCTATAGTGTTACAATCACTGAGCTGGAATACAACTGAGGTAGTACTCAAAAACTGTTAAAAATGGAGACGCTTTACAATTTTGTTATGTTGGTAAGAACTAGGGGGATCAGATAATGGTTTTTTGTATGTACAATCCCCTATTTCCCAAGTCCAAATAATAACTGTGCTGAGTACAATGTATTTTATCTCTTAGTAAAAATGGCGGCCAACGTCTCGTAATTTGTCATCAGTGCTACCTCTAGTGGTATCTCTAGCTCAGTGGTTACAATCAACCACTGAATTTTGGATACGGTAGACATATTGTATAGACCAGCTGTTGCTGATAAGTCAAATCTGTAGCCAATATTTAATTAAAAAGAGCTTTAAATGAGCCACTCATAGATTGTGGTAGTGTTAACATTTGTTTTTCTATTGATTTTTTACACTTTGATAACTGTTCTGATACAACAGATGCTATAGTAAACAGTAAGTATGCATTTTCAGTTTGACTTGGGTAAAATCATTGTCTGAATAATCTAAGAGTTAAGTTTAAATTCTGGTTTTTTATTTTAAAAATCTACGTTACAATAGAACACAGTCCAATGAGCCATTTACAGTGATTGAAAACAATGTTACTTCGATTATAAATTAAAAAAAAAATCATTATAGTTCAAATGTTTGGCTGGACATAAGAAGACACCTGAGAAGTTTATTTTAAAATTGGAAAGTTTAGTGTTTGAATGTTAGCCTTTTTATTAGTATTTTTCATTGAGAAATTTCCAGTTGCTTTGTGTTTGAACGAAAATAGAAAAATGTAAAAAAAATGTGCAAACCTATATCTGGGATTAAAATAGGGCACCTATATCAAATGCCTATCCAGTATTAACTTATTTTATTAACTTGAAATTAAAAGAACAAAACAAATTACCGGTAGTTTTGTTTAAAAAGTTAAAAAGTTAACGATGAAAATTACTAATGGTACGCTAATGGTATATTATAATCTTAATTCTTTTAAGTTCATCAAAAACCTATAATAAAGGTTTTTTGTATTATTTTTATGTTTAAATCAGTTTAAATTTTATGTGCAGTGATTAACTATTATTTCTATGTGTTTTTATGATAGCCTTAACAAAATTCTCACTTTAAGCCAAATATAAAAAATAGCAAACAATGCAAGGTTATTAAAATGTTCAATTAAAATAGCTCTCTACCCTTATAAATCTAAATAATTTCAGTGGTTTTGTTTCTAATACATACTTTATTCATTTTAAATGGTTCAGATAATGTAAATATATTGTGTATAGTATTATAAAATATGGATGCATTGACTTTGTCGTCACTCATTTTCGACCGCTTGTACTAAAATACTCAAATTCATCGTATTCAACATTATTATACAAATATGTAAATAGATTTATACATGGATAGTAGCTTTATATGGTCATGACTTGTACATAATGGTTTAAGTTTATCTAGAAATATGACCAATATACGAAACGTACTGTGTACTTATGTAATATAGCTTTAAAGTTACACTTAGCAAAGTATAACCAAATACATTGAAATAAATGTTGTTCTTAAATAAATTTTTGTTTTATTATTAACCTTCATTTATTTCTTAGTGTCTGCAGAATGCATAGTTGGTAATATACAAATGGAATTTAGCTAATGATAAGACTTTTACTTGTTAAGGGTTTATCAGTAAATTTAAACTCATTTAACAATATTGCAGCTTAAAATTATTTGCAGTATATTATAGTTAATTGCACTAAATTATTTTTTTTAATATACAGGTTAATATTGAAGACACGCGATAGAAAAGCCAAATAACGCAAGTTAGAAATAAATACCCCCGCCGCAGCAAACCTACTGACTAAGCGAATTTCCATTCGTCTGAATTGATTTTCAGTTAAATATATTTTAATAACATTAGGTTTAACGAGTACCTAGGTTTGCTGCTACAAGGAAACTAACTTAAGTGTGTTTTTGAGTATAATATTGATAGCTTAGTACAAAATAAATAAATTTGCCAAGTTTGATCAAAATATATTCATAAACAAGCAAACTACAACATTTGACAATATTCTCCATAAGAATAACATGGTAATTTTGAATTTACAATTTTTTAAATTTTCTCCGTTACTAATAATCGAACAAAATACTTTTATATACTAAATTATTTGTTTTTTTAAGCTCTTTAAAAAGGTCTAAAGAGAAATTGGGAAATTTTGTGTTTTGAGGGTCAAAAGTGAGAAAAACCCATTTTTACCCCATAAAACCCCCCGTAAAACCCCGTTCCCATGGTCCAATCGTGCTGGTTCACGAACTCATTCAAGTTTATCCCGCTTTACACCTTTAAACCAAATTTCATCAAAATCGGACAAAAATTACTCAAGTTATCGCGTTCACGGACGTATATATATATATATATATAAATCTATATATATATATATATATATATATATATATATAGGAGAAAATTAGGTGAGTAAACAAAACTAATGTTGTGTATTATACAGGGATCAATCTATTGTACCAAACAGCGGTAAAAGAAATAGGAGGTAAATCGTTTAGCTAAAAACGCCCAATTAAAAATTAAAAATTAATTTAAAAATCTCAATTAATGGTGGTTTCATGTCGATAAAACGGTTAAACAAGTCGTTTGGATATAAACTATTACATACCAACACCAAGAGAGTCAAAACTGCAAGAGAGCTTCTTTTAGCGAATTTCCCTATAGGGAAGTACTGTAGCTATTACCGTAGGTGGCACGGTAAGACCTAGGCCCGAGACCGATTTACTTTTTCATTTTGATGATAAAAATTTGAACGAATAGTGTTTTTGGCCTCTGGGGACATCAAAATGAAAAAGTAAATCGGTCTCGGGCCTAGGTCTTACCGTGCCACCTACGGTAATAGCTACAGTACTTCCCTATAGGGAAATTCGCTAAAAGAAGCTCTCTTGCAGTTTTGACTCTCTTGGTGTTGGTATGTAATAGTTTATATCCAAACGACTTTTTTAACCGTTTTATCGACATGAAACCACCATTAATTGAGATTTTTAAATTAATTTTTAATTTTTAATTGGGCGTTTTTAGCTAAACGATTTACCTCCTATTTCTTTTACCGCTGTTTGGTACAATAGATTGATCCCTGTATAATCCACAAAAATAGTATTCCTTGACTCACCTAATTTTCTACTTCAGTAGTTATCAGAAATCATCATCCACGTAGTTATTGGAAAAGAAGATAATTTTCGATTTTTGTGTGTCGTTTGTGATGTTTAAAGGGTTATTTTTTAACACTTATGTGTACAATACAATTTAACAGTATCAGTATTTGGATCATGATCTTCGAGTATTTCCGATAATTTACCAATCGGTGTTGAAATAAACTCATAATTTTTTTTTCGATCAATCCATAGTTTTGCATCATACTCTCCATTTTGAAATGTTTTAAAGGCACTACAACATTCTCCATATCACAGTGGAGGGGTGCTGAGGGGGCACGATCCCAATTGTTGGGCACAATAACCCTCGAAAATCGTTTAGCGAGTTTTCTTGCCATTGTGTACAATTGTGCAGCGAGAGGCCGCTGCGGGTGTCAATCCATTGTGTATTGTGTATTGTGGCTCTCAATCAGCCAGATCGTTGCTCAATACATGATACGCCCCCCCGCAATACAAATACAATACATGTTGTCGAACCCTGGTCTGATATATCAGTTATGGCACACCGGAGACAATAGTGGTTCCTTATGGGGTTGTTTCAGTTGGGTAATTTGTAATGTTGAAATTACACACCATGAAATTTTTGATGGATGGTGTTGGCTAACCACGTTAAAGTGTGTGAATTCGATTTGGAGTTGATTCATACCTTTATCTGGGCGGGAATTAATATTGAATTGATAGGCTGTATAGTTTTTCATTTATAGAGTTTCAAAAGCGTAACAATAGTTTAGAATCACCCTGTATACACATAATGTTTTTAATTTGGTTATACAGACTGTCCCAAAAGTCCCGGACCGGTTTAATATATTCAAAACGACAACAGATAAATCAATAAGATTTTGGTACTTCAACACCACACCTAAAAATCTACTTTTTTAAGGGACTATCAATTTTCTGTCATATCATGGGGACGTCCCGCAAGGAGTCAGAAGGAAATCTTAAATAGAAGCATAGGTTGACATGCATATCAAATTAAAGACCTTTACTAGAAGATTACAATGCCGTAAATTCAAGCTCAAAAGAATGCCTGAGTAAAAAATGGCAGCCGTTCAAAGATTTCTTGAACCTGCCATTTTTAATCTTTGAACGACTGCCATTTTTTACTCAGGCGTTCTTTTGAGCTAGAATTTACGGCATTGTAATCTACTAGTGAAGACCTTTAATTTGATGTGCATATCGACCTATGCTTACGTTAACAATTTTTTTCCCGATTCCTAGGGCTGTGCCCCCAAATGCAAATTAAATGAATCTTTGAACCACTGTCATTCTTGACTTGGTTGTCCGTTTGAGTTCAAATTTGCGGCATTATATTTTGCTAGTAAATACCTTTAATTTGATGTACATGTCAACATATGCTTCTATTTAAGATTTCCTTCTGACTCCTTGCGGGACGTCCCCATGATGTGACAGAAAATTGATATTTCCTTAAAAAAGTAGATTTTTAGGTGTGGTGTTGAAGTACCAAATCTTATTGATTTATCTGTTGTCGTTTTGAAAATATTAAACCGGTCCGGGACTTTTGGGACAGTCTGTATATGGATAAATAACGCCTTGCCTGGAGACATTTTTTATTCAAGTCGTTGATATAATATTTTACGCCACACTACATTATTTTGATGAACTTTCCACGCAAGGATTTAGTCCAGAAAACAGCTGTTTGCCGCCAGCTTATTCAAATGGGGTTTCATTGCGTAATACTGTTCTGCAATGAGTTTTACCGGACACCAATCAGCTGATTATACTGTATTTTCGTGGCAATTAGTGGTTATAAACAAAAACATAACCTCTCATGACTAGTGATTTTTAGTCCTTTAGTTGGTGGAAATATATAAGGATTTGTACGGATTAAGTAGTATGGCGTAAACTATCGTACGTTA